GGGCGCGCGCGCACGTGTGTGTGTGTGTGTGTGTGTGTGTGTGTGTGTGTGTGTACGTGTGTGTACACAGAACAAGCTGTGCATGGTGAGGCGTACCTGTAATACTAACACTTAGCTGCAGGAGGAGGACTACAGGTTCAAAGCCAGCATGGGCTAAACATAGTCAAAAACACAAAAACAAACAAACAAAGCCACCTAGAACTCCTTGCTTCCAGGATACAATTTTCCTGAGATTTCGCGTGAGTGTGGACATGCCTTCCTAGTCTCTCTGACTCGGCTGCTGGCTCCCATGCTCACTCTGCACAGTCGCAGTCTGTCACTTCTTACCCGGAAGGTCAGGAGCCGCCCACCAGCTGTGCTCCCTGTAATCTCCAAGCTGCTGCTGAAGCTAAATCTGGTCTTGGCTTTGCAGAGTCAGCAGGGTTGACTGCATCCTTGGTGTAGCATTAGAGACCACCCTGGAGCTTCCTGTTCATTCCTAGAACCCACCTCACAGCTCTGCCTCCCAACCCCTGGCCCAATATCCCAGCCATTATGAGTTCTGTAAAATGAATTCCATCCAGTGCTGAAAACTCAAGCCTGTCTCTTCCTCCCTTCCTCTCTCACCTCAGGACCTTTACACCAGTCTGCCTGGAAGACACTTCTGTCCACTCTTTGTGTGTGTGTGGGGGGGGGGAGGCGTGGGGGAGGGTAGTGTGGTAGGTGCAGTATACATGCATGCTCCTGAGTATAGAAGACAGAGGTCAACATGGAGTGTCTTCCTCAATTGCTTTCCACCTTATTTATTTATTTAGATACAGAGTTTCTCACTGAAACCTAGAACTCACCAATTTAGCTAGGCTGGCTAGCCGGCAACCTCCGAAGATCCTATCTCTACCTCCTCAGTACCTGGTTCCCAGGGGTACACCACCACACCCAGCTTTTTATGTGAGTAGCAGGGATCCAAACTCAGTTCTGCATGCGTGCATGGCAGTTACACAGAACCCCAACTCTTTACCCTTTGGGATTCAATATAAACTCTTCTGAGGTTTTGCTGGACCATCCCCTCACACACACCTAGTTTGAATTAGCTGCTTCAGTATTTCCACAGAACCTAGGGTTTCTCTTTTTCTAACACTTGAGATACTATAATAGTTTTTTTGTTTTGTTTTGGTGTGTGTGTGTGTGTGTGTGTGTGTGTGTGTGTGTGTGTGTGTGTGTGTTTTGTTTTGTTTTTTGTTTTTTTTGTCGGAGCTGAGGACCAAACCCAGGGCCTTGCACTTGCTAGGCAAGCGCTCTACCACTGAGCTAAATCCCCAACCCCAATAGTATTTATATACTAGTACATTTCCTCCATTAGATTGCAATTTCCTTAAAGGTAAAAATCAATTTGTAAGCACAATGCCTAACACATGGTATTCAATCATATATTAATTCAATGAGTATCTGGTGTTAAAGGCAATTTAAGTCTCTTTTGTTTTGTTTTTCAAGACAGGGTTTCTCTATGCAGTCCTGGCTGTCCTAGAACTCAGAGGTCCATCTACCTCTGCTTCCCGGGTGCTGGGATTAAAGGCATGCATCACTACAGCCTAGCCAATTTAAGTCTTAAACGCTTATGCTATAGAAAAACTAGTACATTAATGTTCATAGCCACGGTACTCATTGTACCCCTGAAGTGGAAACAATTCAAATGTCTAACAACTGATGAGTGGATGAGTAAGATGTTATAGAGACATACAATGGACTATACTTAACCATAAAAAGGAATGAAACTCTGACACATACTACAAGCATGGATGAACATTGAAAAGTGTGAAAGAACTCAGTCACAGAGACTACATGTGATATGATTCCATTCATGTGAAGACACATTTGTTTCTTCCTTAGGTCAGATTTCCAATGTACTAACACCACAGATTAAACACTTAGAATATGTTGGCCACTGCGCTAGGTGCTCTGCACAGATATCCTAACATCTACTACTCTACAGATGAAGTGTCAGGGAACAGAAAGGGCAGCAGGCCTGAGGCTGGCCTTACGAAGGCTTCCCTGTAATCACAGCTCCTGGCTTCTGTCTGAAATCTGGATTTGGGGAGTGTTCACACCAGCTGCTAAGAGTGACTTCCTGTGGCTACTCTTGAGCTCACTTTCTTCCTGAGGAGCGGCTGCACTCATGGTACATGTTGTATCCCTAATCGACCAGGATCCAAACAATACTTCAGGCACTAACACTGGAAGAATTAATGTCCTGTGTGACTCCACACGAAAGGACCCCAGGGAGCCCGGGGCTCCTTTTGTCCAATCTCTACTCCCTGTGACTTTGCTCCTTGACTTTATTTTGTGGAATTTCACTGTACTTTCTCATCATCCTGGGGGTGCTCTGGGCAGCACAAGTGCCTAGTGTTTGCCTTGCTTTATGGATGAAGAAAATGAAGCTTAGAAAGGTAGTAAGCCAGGGGCTGGAGAGGTGGCTCAGAGGTTAAGAGCGTTGGCTGCTCTTCCCAAGGACCTGAGGGCTCACAGCCTCCTGCAACTCTGTAGGTCCAGGGAATTTGATACCCTCTTCTGGCCTCTGTGGGAATCCACGAGCATGTGTATACAAACAGGTGCACCAGCACGCACACACCAATTTTTATAATTATTTTATTTCTGTGTATTTTTGCCTGTGCACCATGTGCATGTCCAGTGGAAGAGGCCAGAAGAAGTTGTTCAATCCTCTGGAAGCAGAGTCATAGACAGTTGTGAGTTGCCATATGGGTGCTGGAAATCAAACCTGGGTCCCTGGGGCTTTTTCGTGTTTGTTTGGTTTTTGTTTTTAACAGCCAGGTATTATAGCACATGCTTGTAATCCTAGTGATAATGAAGTAAGGACAGGTGGATGGTTCCTGAGGATCAAAACCCAAAGGTGACCTCTGGCCTCTATATGCATGTGCACATACACACTTACAGATACACATACACATTTAAAAAAAGTGTATGTGTGTGTGTGTGTGTGTGTGTGTGTGTGTGTGTGTGTGTGTGTGTGTGTTCCCAGGTTCATCTCAAATCAATGCCTAATTTATATACAGGCTGAACCAATGAGACTCCCCGCACAAAAGAGCTGGGGTAACCAGATGACACCTCACTGAGATCCCTCCCTGCTGGAGGAAGCTGTTACTCTACTTCTCAAGGAAACTTGGCTTCCTTGCCCTTCTGTTGCTCTCAATCATCATTCTGTGTGATTGTGAGACCACCGGACTTCCAAGATCCTCACACCCCACGCGAGGCCCACCAAGAGCTGAGCAGCCCTTCGCTGAACTTAAAAAAGACACAACAGCGCTTGTGGGCAAACCTGAAGACCTGAGTTAGTGCCCCAGACTGCGCGTGCAAGAACAGAACTGACGCCTAAAAGTCATCATCTGAGGAGTGGTGGCGTCCACACACCTTTGACTCCAGCGCTCGGGGGGAAAAAGAGGCAGGCAGATCTCTGTGAGTTCAAAACCAGCCTGGTCTACAAAGCAAGGGGCTGTTACATGGAGAAATCCTGTCTCAAAAAGCCAAAGGGGAAAAAAAAAGTTGTCACCTGATCACACATGTGCTATGACAGGTGTGCACCTGCACTCACACAGACAGTTGTGAGCTGCCATATGGGTGCTGGAAATCAAACCTGGGTTCTCTGGTCCTTTTGTTATTTGTTCTTAATGGCCAGACAGTGTAGCACATGCTTGTAATCGCACTGCTAAGGAGGTAAAGACAGATGGATTACAAAGGTAATAATAATAATAATTAATAAAATAGAAACAAACTTTAAAAAAACTAGGGCCTCAAGCATGCAGGTAAGCACTCTCTCATTAGCTACATCCCTAGCCCTAAAATAATTTTTAAATTTCTAAAAATTCCATTTATTTATTTATTTGTGAGTGTTGGGGATAGCAAGTGCACATGCCACAGTGCCTACGTAGAAGTCAGAGGACAATTTTCAAGAGTCAGTTCTCTACTTCTATCATGTGAGCCCTGGGGACCAATTTCAGGTCATCACCTTGACAGCAAACTCTTTGGCCTGTGTCTTAGTTACTTTTCAATTGCTGTGACAAAACACCATGACCCAGGCAATTTATAAGAGAAAGCATTTAATTTGGGGCTTATGTTTTCAGAGGGCTAGAGTCCATGGCCATCCTGGCAGGGAGTGTGGCCACAGGCAAGCAGGCATGGTGCTATAACAGTAGCTGAGAGCTTACATCTTTGGGGGTGGAAGAGTAGGTTCAAGACAGGTTTTGTCTGTGCAGCCCTGGCTGTCCTGGAACTCGCTCTGTAGACCAGGCTGGCCTTGAGCTCACAGAGATCCGCCTGCCTCTGCCTCCAGAGTGCTGGGATTAAAGGTATGTGCCACCACAGACTGGTGAAAGCTTACATCTTAAACCACAAGCAGGAGGCAGAAAAAGATAACTGGAAATGACATAGGCTTTTGAAACCTCAAGGCTGGCCCACAGTGACACACTTCCTCCAAGGCCACACCTCCTAATCCTTTCCAAACAGTTCCACCAACTGGGGACCAAGCATTCAAACATATAAGTCTGGGCGTCATTCTCATTCAAACCACCACAGCCTACTAAAATTATTTTTTAGAATATAAAATAAGAATATGGTACCAGGTGGTAGTAACAGTGGCGCACACCTTTGATCCCAGCACTTGGGAGGCAGAGGCAGGCAGATCTCTGTGAGTTTGAGGCCAGCCTGGACTACAGAGGGAGTCGCAGGACAGCCAGGGTGGTTACACAGAGCAATTCTGCCTCAAAAAGAAAAAACAAGCAAACAAACAAAAAGAATATGGAGCATTTTGAGAGGTTTACTATTCTGGCCATCTTTGTCGGTGAGGCAACATGAAGTATTGACTTTTTCTATGTAGTAGAAAATTAATAAAAACAGGTTTCTGCCTCTTGCCAATCAGCATCATTAAAAAAATAGGCAAGTTCACACTATAGATATACCCTTTCAACTAAATAGAAAAATCCGGAGGAAAAACAGAAACTCCCACAAGGCAGTTAAATTACCCAATTTACTTTATTCTCCTGCCATGCCAACCGCTGTTTAGGCTTAATTATTTGCTCCTACTTCATAGCACTCCAATCTAGGTGTCAGCACCTTCTCTGCAGGTCTCTTCGGTTACATCTCTATAAAGAAATAGGAGTGAGACTTCCTGGGTTTCTGTGAGAATTCAAAGGTTTCTAGATTAGCATCTTCCAAATTAGCAGGCTTAGACGTGTGATACATGCTCAGTTCTGTCCTGATCCCCAGTGAAAGCAATTAACAAGAAGGGTAACGGCAATGCTTTTCCCCTAAGACTCCAGCACCTCCCTCGGGAAAGCAGGCATCACATTGACAACGCTGACAGGACCAAGGGTTTCAAGATCCCTCAGTCCAAAAAGCTGCTGCTCAAACTCGCCACGGCAGCTACTTATCAGAGGGCACCAGGAAGCAGAGTGGTCACATATTAATCCTCACGGCAAAAGACAGAACGGGGTTTTAAGAAGACTCACATCACTCACTTACTGTGATCTAGATTTCCCTCAGTGTAAACCAACTGTAGATCAACACACTGTGCCTAGCACAATATGCACCCAGTAGGAGCTCAATAAATCCTTATTTTTAAAAGGGGGTGGTGCTGGGGGAATGGCTAAGCAGTTAAAACACTTGCTTGCAATCATGAGGACCAAGGTTCAGATCCCCAGAAACCCACATAAACATTGGATGGGTACGGTAGCCTGCCTCTAATTCTAGCCTTGGAAGGCTAAGCTAGAGGACCCCCAGAGCAAGGGTAGTCAGCCACACTGGCAAGCTCTGGACTTCATTGAGAGACCCTGCCTCGGTGAATAAGGTGGAAAAGCAATCAGGACGATTCCTGACATCAACCTTGGGCCTCCACCTGCATGCACACCTACACATGTGTATACACATGCAAAAACATGCGTACACACATACATGCACACCACCCACATAAAAATAGAAATAATCAATCAATCCTCATTAAATAAGCAAGTGAATAAGTATGGAACACGGGAAGTATTCAGGGCTAGAGAGATGGCTCAGCCTTAGGTTAGGATTACAACCAAAAATATAAGAGAATATTCAATAACATTTGTTGAATAAATAAAAAGAAAGTGCCAAGAAATGTCGTAGGTATCAGGAAAGGGAGATGTGGTATTTATTATGGACCTATGTGTGACACATTACGAGCTGTTAAGAGATGAAATAATACGATGAGCTCTGGGGTTAGAGACTGTCCAAATTCCAGTGCCATCAGCCACGTACAGGAGGCCTTAGCTAAGTCTCTACTATCAGCCAAACAGGGGTCAGTTTCACCTTTTGGTATAAAAGGATAATACCTACTTAGCCTGCATGGCTCTTTCATTAAGTAGAAAAAGAATAGGTAGAGAAACTGCCTAACACAAAGCTTGGCATATGGAAGACTCAGTATAGAAAAATGATAAAGCCTTAGGGATGCAGCTCAGTTAGTATTGTGCTTGCCTAGCATGCACAAAACCCTGCGTGCTGCATAAAACTATGTGTGGTAGTGCACACCAATGGTCTCAACATGCAGTTGGTACAGGCAGGAGGATCAGAAGTTCAAGGTCATTCTCAGCTACACATCAACCTCAAAGTCAGCCTGGGTTGACATGAAACACTGTCTAAAAAAAAAAAAAGAGGCCAGGTATGGTAGTGCACACCTTTAATCCCAGGCCTTAGGAAACAGAGGCAGGATCTCAGTGATTCTGAAGCCAGCCTGGGCTACATGAGTTCCAGGGCAACCAAGGTTACATATAAGACCTGTCTCAAAAAAAAAAGGGGGGGGAAGTGGGGTGGAGGTGGGGTAGGGTTCCTCCTCTTCCAGAGAACACAGGATAGATACCCAGAACCCACATGTTAGCTCACGCTGTTTGTAACTCCATGCCCTCTTCTGGCCTCTGCAGTCTCCAGATACCAAAATGGTGCACATACAAACATCCAGGCAAAACAACCATATACCTAATATTTTAAATGAGTACCTTCAAGATAGTCCATAGGATAAAGATTCTGGCTAGACATGGCTGTTGACCTGAGCTGGATACTCAAATTCCACAGTAGAAGAGAATGACTCCCAAGGGTTGTTCTCTGATCTCTATGCACCCACACTCACGCACATCATACGCTCACTATAAGATTTTTTTATTTAAACAAAGAAAAGAAAAATGATTTAAAAAAAAACTATTCTGACAATGCAAACTTTTGTTGTTGTTGTTTTGTTTTGTTTTGTTTTTCAAGGCAGGGTTTCTCTGTGTAGCCCTGGCTGTCCTGGAACTCACTCTGTAGACCAGGCTGGCCTCGAACTCAGAGATCCTCCTGCCTCTGCCTCCCCAGTACTAGGATTAAAGGGGAGCAACATCACTGCCTGGCCTTTTGTTTAATTTTTAAATCAGTTTTCTTTTTTTCATTTATTTTGTGTGTATGTGAGTGTGAGCACACATGCATCACCATACATGTAGAGGTCAATGAACAACTTTTGGGAGCTGGCTCTGTCCTTCCACCACGTGGGTCCTGGGAACAGAACTCAGGCCTTCAGGCCTGTTGGCACAGCCACTACCTGAGACATTTCCAAGGCTCATGCTAACATTTTTTTAAAGATATACTTTTTATTATGTTTATTTATTTACTATGTATGGGTGTGCCACAGCATGTGTATGGAAGGAAGAGGACAACTTATGGGAGCTGATACGTGCGTCCTGGGGATTGAACTCAGACTGGCAGGCTTGGAAGTGCCTTTACCAGCTGAGTCACCTTGCCGGCCCCCAATGTTAACAACTTTTGAGGCCTGCCACATGCCCCTTACTGTGCCACGCATCTTAAACATGTAGCCTCATAAAATTCTCACGCCAGTCCTGTAAGTATAATGACCTCCCTTCTACAGGTAAGAAAGCTGACGGGTCAAGAGTGACGTCAGAGATGGGCTACACAGGTGTCCAATCTAAGCAATACATGTATATTGTCAAGGACAGAGTATTTTCCACATTAGCAACTACTTAGGTAGGGGGCTAAAACAGAGGCTCTGAAAAGCAGTATTTCACAAATTCACCCCAAAAATGTCACAGGGTGAGGTTGGCCCAACTAACTGGGGCTCAGAGAAGTTCTGCAACTTTCCCTAAGTAACCAAGTGCTCTCCTCAGGGAGTGGACACCTCCCAGTTCACTACCTTAAGCCAGGGAAGAATCCCTTCAGCACTTACTGCCTCGGTGTCCCAAGACCCATAAGCCCGTGTGGAACCCTAAAACCCCGTACACGCCTGTCGTAGCTGTCCTGACCAGGTATCAAAGCCCCTCTAGGCTCTCTGACTCGGAGAGCTCCAGGTCAGTACCATGTCCATCTCCCCATCCTGGGCAAGGGGATGGATGGGGCAGCGTAAGGTGGGGGGAAGGGAAAGCTACTGAAGGCGCATGCCCAGGCAGCTCCATTCACGCACAACTCACCTGAGAGTCCCGAAATTCCACCACCACGTTCTCGCTGCTCCAGCGCGCTGCCATCTCCTTATTCCGACCGTGGGGGTGCCTGTCGGCGACCCCCAACTCCAAACCCGGATACTTCCCGGGCTAGTAAGCGCCACAACGTTTTAGCAATAAATCCAACCACGCCCATTTCCCCGCCTTCCGCTTGACCGCAACTCATTGGCTAACCCAATGATAGGCCCCGCCCCTTGTGCTTTCTTCCCCCAACGGCGAACCTCGCCTGCCCCCAATAGGAACGCCCCCTTCATTCCGTCATCAGTAGGAGTCACCCGGGCCCCGCGCGGCCGCTGACACACCCCTTTACCGTGAACTCTGCCGGGAATTGTAGTCCAGGGTCCGCACAGCGTCGGTGACCCGGGAAGAGCCGGAGGTTAGAGGGCAGATGCCAGTTCTACTGTCTGCTTTCTGGTTGGTTGATGTTCCCGTATTCTCCTACACACACCCTATAAACATCGGTACCTAAAGAAAACACCTCTTCTGATGCCTGTCATCAAGGATTTGAAAAATCTAAGCGCACATTTTATTGTTTGGTGCTGTACCGCTCTTAAGTGTTCAGGGGCTCCTGAGGGTCTCCGCGACATATTGGGGGTGGGGAAGCAAGTCCCCAAAGGTAAAACAATCTCATAATCCTATTAACACGTTACTTTCACTTTCTCTCACCAGTGTGGCATAGAGTGTTGTTCCCTATTGTGCAGTAGTACATAACCAATAGAGGGAATGTACCCAGATTTAAGCCGAATGTTAAAGGACTTACCACTGTTCGATAACATCTTTTAAGTTTTGGAAAGTGTAGTTGTTGGGCTTTTGTTTGTTTTTTGTTTTTTTCTTCACTTAATATGTGAAATTAACCCGGGTGGTGTGGGTACACGCCTTTAGTCCCAGCACTCAGGAAGCAGAGGCAGTCTACAGAGCAGAGTTCCAGGACAGCCAGTGTTACACAGAGAAAAGGTGTGTAGTTAACATTAATGAAAGTTGATATGTAACTGTTATTTTTTTATTCACGACTTTAATTTCTTTTGGGTTTTATTTTTATTTTATTTTATTTTATTTAGTTTTTCGAGACAGGGTTTCTCTGTGTAACTTTGCGCCTTTCTTGGAACTCGCTTTGTAGACCAGGCTGGCCTCGAACTCACAGAGATCCGCCTGCCTCTGCCTCCCACGTACTGGGATTAAAGGCCTGCGCCACCACCGCCTAGCTCTTGTACAAGGAATTTTAAAGTGTTCTATAGCCACAAGTGGCTGATAGCTACCATAATGGACCATGATATTAACAACAACAACAAAAAAAAACTTTAGAGAATGGGCAGGCATTAAATGTGATGGCGCCCTTGGGTACCCAGTCTCAGGAAGAGTGATCTACCAAGCACACTCAAAAAGCAGTGGTGTGCTTGGCGGAGGCTGTCCAGAGATAAGGCAGTCTCTCCGGGGAGTCGTAAAGGTGACCCCTGAAGTGCCGGCTACCGACGGCCCTCACCAAAGGTGATGCAGACCAGGAGGAACCCCAGGCCTCTTTGTGGTGAGTAGTTGAATATCTCCCTTCCCTATTAAGAATCCTTCTTGCACCATGAGTCAGAACACAGGCTTAAGACAAAAGGTCTTGTTTAATATTATTATATTGTATAATATTAGAGGGACCAGCCTTAATATTATACATCCCAGGGGCTCAGGAGAGAGAACTACTAACGGCAGGGACTATTTTCAGGAAATAGAATCTCAGCACACCAAGCTCTATCGTCCACTTGCTTTAATTCCTCTGGCATAACATCCTTTATACACAGCTTCATTTCTGTTCTCATGTCTAGCTCCTTTCTTGCCTGATTTCTCTCCATACTTATCTATTGCTCCCTCTAAGTTCTATCTTAATTCTCTCATCTTAATTCTGCCTCATCTAGGTCCTTTTCAGCTTGTTCTTACCCAGCTAGTTAGTACTGGCTCTTCCTCATCTTCCATCTCATTCCTCTAGTACTTTCTTCTAGCCCCTCAATCTAGTTCTTCCCCATAATTCCTCGCAAGTTCTTACCCGTCTAGTTCTTTTTTTTTTTTAGATTTATTTATTTATTTATTATGTATACAGTATTCTGCCTGCATGTGTCCTTCTGGCCTAGAAGAGGGCACCAGATGTCATTATGGGTGGTTGTGAGCCACCATGTGGTTGCTGGGAATTGAACTCGGAACCTCTGGAAGAGAAGTCAGTGCTCTTAACCACTGAGCCATCTCTCCAGCCCCACCCATCTAGTTCTTACATACTCTTTTCTCTTCTCTGTCTCTTTGTGCCCTGGAAGTCCTGGTATATAAAGCCAGGCTTCCAGGGTCAAACGGAAGGGTGATAAGAATCACATTGAGAGGCAATAACCATTAATTATCATTTGCAACCCCAAAGGGAAGTGACCAATGGGGAAAGGAATTAACTAAAGGCTAAATTCGGGTAATATCTAAGAGGAGGGATCTTATGTGCTCAACTATTAAACTCTTCAACGTGATTAGTAGAAAATGTTTTTTTTGTTGTTTTTTGTTTGTTTGTTTGTTTGTTTTTTGTTTGTTTGTTTTTTTGTTTTTTGTTTTTTGAGACAGGGTTTCTCTGTGTAGCTTTGTGCCTTTCCTGGAACTCACTTGGTAGCCAAGGCTGGCCTCGAACTCACAAAGATCCACCTGCCTCTGCCTCCCGAGTGCTGGGATTAAAGGCGTGCGCCACCACTGCCCGGCCAGTAGAAAATGTTAAGAATCTATAAGTTGCTAGGTCAATGGGAAAAAATAAAACTGACTTCTTTTTTTCCTGTGGCTCCTATCTGTCCAAGCTGTCTGCCGTTTTTCTGCAGGGTGGGGGAAGGTGTGCTCAGTCTCTAGGCAACCTGTGTACAGCTAGATGCCTCTGGTGATAGTTAAAGGGAGATCTGGAACTAGAGGTAAGGTTTGGGAAAGCAGGAAGTAAAGCCTAATTGGCACATCCGCCAGGCCTTCTCACATGGGTAGACTGGATGCTTAAGTCTGTTCTTAGAAAGTACAGAGGTATCTCTGATAAGGTACTTTCCTCCATCTGGAGATGGACTTGGCCGGATGCTGCCAATGATGATAATTACAGGGAGGCTTGAATTGGGGTTCTGGCTGAGCATAGCTGTCAGTGCAGAAGGTTATCTAAATATTCCTAGAAGCCGTTAGGTAAGGAGTTAGCGGTCTATAAAGTTAGTAAGGTTGAAAGAAAGGAGGGTCCAAGCTAAATTGTGTAAAGCTATTATTGAACATCCACCTGACCTAGGCGGTGTCTCCTTGTGGAATTTGTCTTAAATCAGGAGACTTGCATGTGGACTGTTATTACTGCTAGTCCTTGAAAGTGGCCAAGGGAGATATCTGATTCCAGAGAAAGCCTTTCCTGAGGCTGTTCTCCAAATACCTGGAATGTGTATGTCCAGAGAGTGATCAGTCTACACTGTCAGCCCTTCTTAGGGGAAAGTCAATTGGGGAAACTATGAAGGCACACATGATTTTCATAACAGAATACAGCTGATATATAACAAGCCAAGTAATACCAAAAACTCCTTGGGATTTGGCTTCCTCTGGAGGAATTCCCTGATTCCTCCAGGTAGTGACTTTGCCATAACCAGCTGAGTTCTTATGATATATTCCTGCGGCCTGCAGCAAGGATGAAATA